CTCGTAATAACTAATAGTTAGGAAACAAATTTAGATATTAAAAAAAAAAAAAGAAAAAAGATATTGAAGTAGAAAATTGAGGAATACAGTATTTACTGTTTCAAAAGATAATAAACGACATACGAAAAAATATTACAATATCAATATAGATATTAGATACATTAATTGTTCCACTCAGAATCAAAAAATCTACAAAACTAAATTAATATTTAACGATTGTATCATAATACAATATATAAACACTAAGTGAGTAGGCGTAGGTTAATATAAATTCTATCTTTTTAACTTTAATAATAATTATTGATTAGTGATTACTAATAAATATTATATTTGTAAATAGTACTGATAGAATAATAATGGTCAATATTGGCATATTGATATTATTGATATTATGGAAAAATTTACAGTTTAATATTATGGTCTTGTAATTTATAGCAATGTCTTCCGTCATCTTTATAAATTATACTTAATCATTAGATTCTATAATTCATTGCATGTAATTATAATGCTATAAAACGGTTAGGCTTTGGAGCTACTATATCTAACTATATTATAACGACGAAAATTACTATCACAATTCTGCACGTGTTCATATTAAAATTACTATCAAACATTAAATGCCATATGTGATTGTGTTATATTATATATCGTGTGGGTAGATTAATTATATTTTTAAGTATGAGTAATATTATAAAATATAATTTGAGGATTATTATATGCTACGCAATTGTAACATAAAAACCAATACGCTTAACATAATATATATATTTTTTAGATTTTGAGTGGAGTGATATGAACTAAAGTATACGTGTTAAAATTTACCATGATGCCATTTTTGTTTGTTTATTATAAGTTATAATCTTTCAAAGACGTACTGGTGACAGTGTTTATCGGGTCGAAATGGACTGGAGGGAGCATAGTTCATTCAAAATCGTTACATCTCTACTAAAAAAATATAGTTATAAAATTTTTTTCTCTAAAACATCAAATCAATATTGTAAATTATTTTAGTAGAAATACCATGCATGATATTTTATTTAAGTACTTGGAATGTAAATCATTTGTAGTATACCAAGCGAAAATAAGCAATTAAAGCTAACATTTGGGTAACCTCTTTCTATAGGCTAAGAAACTATAATACTTAAAAAAGAACTTTTATACTGTAATAAAATTCATTTTTTGTGTATTTTATATACCTATTGTCTTGTTACTATACATAATATCATATAGTGTATCAGAAGATAAATTCCTATATTATTATTTAAATCAAAGTTTTGTCAGTACCCTTAGATTTTGGGTTTATAATTTTGTCCCATTGTGTAACATAATGATGTAACACCTGCATGTACTCATGCGTTGTTGACATCAAATTTATATGAAATTATCTTTATTATTTTGCATATTAAAAGCTATAAACAGCAGAGTTAGGATAAATTAAATTTAGATTTGTATTATTGTTTATTAGAGACAATTTATATTCACAATCATTTTACGATTATATTAGAATATAACTACTCAAATAGATTTATTTTAATGGTCATTGACGATTTTAACATGAAATTTATAAATTTACATAGTTCAGCCCACTGAGTAGAGGCTTTAGAATTTAGAAAGCTTGCAGTCTAGTAGAACTATTCTCTATGTCTTACCTGGCTAGTCTGCATTTATCACCTTTGAGGCAGTGAAAATGTTTTGATTAAAATTTAAAATCTTAATTTTTATAGACGTTTGAAATTAGAATTTTAACAAAGTTTGTCGAAATTGCAAACAATTTACGTCAAAATATAATCCTTTGTATTAAGAGTGATGTCTTCCTTTTTGATTTGTGCTCTAAAGATATTATTAATTTAGGATGAAATCAAATGGTTTGCCAAACATGCAAATAAATTAAAGTTGCACTCCAATGCTACTGCTAAACAATTCGTCAGACATTAGGTGTCTTAAATACTAAAAGCCGTACAAATAAATGTTTTAGACTATAAGGAATAGGATGACCTCATTGAAAATATAAATCAAAACATGTCCATATACACATTACACAACTTTATTTTAGAATGTATTTATATCATGTATTAAATTTTTAAAGACTAATAATTGTTGTTTAAATAAAAATACCTTTAAATAGTTGAATAAATAAATAAAGGATATTAATTTATCAAAGTCAATAAGAATTGTGACGCAAACTGCAAAACATTATCACTTATCAGTATATTTTATCGGTAAAACTTGTTCAATTTTTCAAAAAAAAAAAAAAAACATCATGGATTTGTGTAGGTAAGTAGATGAATGAATAATGAACTTTAATATTAATACTTATTATCAAGGCTTGTAAGTTCATGCATTTGCACGTTTTTTTCTACACAGGAAAACAAGCTAACTGAATACAAATTTGTTTCATAAACATAGCAATAATACAAAGTTTAATAGTACCTACACGTTTTTGGTGTAAAGGTATATTTGGCATATTGTAGATTTCTTAGAATTATTAATGCATATTATTTTATAGAAATAATTTTTTAGACAAGTAAATGTTTGAATACTATTTTGTTTCTTATTTACTTTCCCATTTATACAATTTCAATATTTTTTGATTTATTTAGATTATTGTATGATTATACAAGTTTTATGCATTTTACGCAGTACCACGAAAATGATGTTATCGCTATCACTACCATTCATATGCCATACAACAAACGTAAAAAAATTTATCAATTTATAATTGCCCATCGTCGCAACGAAACCTGCCAAGGTATGTACACGCGTGTAATACTTATCACCCGTATCAATAATAAATTAGGATTTTAATACTTACACTATTATATTATTATTGCTGTTTGCCAAACGCTGGTATAACGCGGGTTTTCTTGCGCTTGCGCCAAGTCGACGACTCACTCGTATAATCCTATCTGTTTGTCCGTTCGATTTTATGTTTTGAATTAGGTATTTAGGTATACCGATAAACTACATACTTGATGTATAATTTAAAAAAGTTAGTGCATATTTTCGATTTTTTTAGTACATATTTTGCTAATGTTTCGTACATTAATTCATGCATTAGCTTACGAGCCCTGGTTATAATAAATGAGACATAATAGCTATCATGTCTATTATAGTAGATATTATGCTAGTGAAGAGAATATATTTTTTGGAATGATGATTGGGGTGTAATAAAGTACTATTTTTATTTGAAATATTTGTTTGATAATAAAAATTAGATAATTATAATATTTATAAATATTTAAATTAAATAGTTAATATCTATATTCTACATAGATACTATAATAAGTTCAAGAATTTCATATTCATGGCCGACACTGTTAATTATTTTGTTATCTATTTATTTGATAATATCTTATTATAAAATATTATTTTAGAAACAAAATTTAAAATAGTAAAATACAAAATTATCTATAGTATATCAGTAAAACAAAAATAAGTATTTAGTATTCTGAACTAAATATTTAAAACAGTATTAAATACTTCATAACACTAAATTAAATTGATTTTTTATAGTTAAATGTTATGTTTTTTTTCTATACCATAGTTACTAATTTAAAATCCATTAGATCATTTATAATCAACAGGATTTTTCAGTTGTCTGGTAGTTGTGTCTGGTTCATGCATAAGTTTCATTTAACTAAAAATAATGTTATTTGTCATGCTGCCACTGGTGGGAAGGGTTACAGACTACAGTAATTATAATATAATACTGTTATTTAGTGTTATAAGATAAATCAAACTATTATAGGCATAGTTCTTTGTTAATTGAAATATAAACACAATAATGAATTAATATTGTCGATAAAGTTAATGTTTTAGAGTTTAGACAAATATATGAATTTGATGAGAAATTAGTAAAATGATTAGCAAATGTATTTAATAATTGAACTAAATATATATTTTAAATATATTTTCTCAAATTATTAGATGATTAAAAATAGTAATTTATTTAAATATTAGAAATTAAAATAAATGAAAATATGTTGTATTCAAGAAAAAAATTTGTTATGTGTTATTTACAATAAAAACGTTATAGAAATGTTGAATGTATTATTATTCAGAATTAAAATTTTTAATATATTTCATAAATTATAACTATTAATAATTGGAAATCAATTATTATCATTCAATGATAATATACTATATATAACGTTTTGCGTTATGTTTTGTTTTGTGTTATTTAATTATTTATGTTTATTGTTTTCCGTTATAAGTTTATAAAATTCCATCATTTTTTTTTTTTTTGTCAAATATAACGTTATAATCATAATGTTTTGCAAGCCCTGGTTGTATTATTAAGCAAAAATATTATATAATATAGATATAAAATAGTTATATTAAATAATTTATTTGAAAAACATTAAGGCAATAAACATTTAATGAAAACATGCATATTATATTAGTATTTAAGTTTTCTTAGTATCTTAATTTCTCGGGCTTTTAAAATGAAAAAAAAAGTTTCTTCAAAAAATATATTTATCAGGACACATTATAATTAAGAATTACCTTGATATCTGTTACATTTTATCAACAAAATAAATTTAATACTTATATTATGATATATTTTTGTAAGTTTTTAATGATACATAATTCAAAATATTTTAGGCACTTGAATTAGACAATTTTAACATTATTAATATAGCATTACATAATATAACATTGGGTATAATATATTAAGACATTACTAATAAGTTGTGCTTGCATAATTTTTATGATTAAATTATACATATGACATAAGTAACTTACATGGAAATATGTTTTCAGAATTTTAGGAATAGTTTTAGTTGATATCAGTTTGTTATAAATCTACAACTCATAATCATAATAAATGAAATTAACAAAATAGTACATCACTTAAAAATATTATGATATTTATAGAAATTTGATCACAGTTTTAATTTCGATTAATATTTAAGACTAATGAATGAAAAACATTATTCCATAATGAATTATGATAATCATTGTAGAAAATATTTTATGAACATTTACTAAAAAACAATTTAATTAGGCATTTTTTTTTTTTTTTAGAAATTTTTTTAAAAGATAATATTTATGTGCATGTTTATTATAACTTTTACTCATTGATACTTGGCCCATGCTGGAGTTTCAACTTTTCTAGCAGCAGGAGCTACACTTTTTTTAGTACTATTATTGCCTTGAAGAGTTGGAAACATTTCTTCATCTTTAACATCTAAGCTAGTTTTATTTTTTGGTGCACTTCTATGTCCACCTAAATGACAGATAGTTAATTAAAAGCTTATAGTACTTAAAACAAAAAATTAAATTAATAGTTTACCTTGAAAATTGTTACGTTGAGCTGGCGGTACATATACCTTTTTCTGTACTTCAGCAACAACTGGGGGAGCAGCTAAAAAAAATGAGATGGTATTATATTAGACCTACTGTTAAACATTTTAAATAATTCAAATAGAAAGAAAATTTATTAGTCGAAAAATGATTTATATTTCAAAAAGTGACATCCAAGTAATATGAATAACTATACTCTGTCTAGTGAGAGAATACACAGTAGCCTAACGAATGTGGGTTCTTCTGTGTATCCTCACTAAATACTTTATCATCAAGACGGGTAAACTCTGAAAAAATGTCACGTGGGATAAACAGAATTAGCGTGTTCTCTCACTGGACAGAAAATAATATATTACTAATGTTTATCTTAAAATATTAAAACTTATTGTAATAATATTTGCAATACTACTATATGTGAGGTATCATATTTTGTAAATGCTAGTTTATGACGCATGGTATTCAAAGTTTTCATAATATTGGAAGTAATCTTATAAATATGATATAAGTATAGATTTGACTTAGTAAGCCATAAACACACTTTACTTATATTATCTAATACAACATAATTTTTAGAACACATGTGTTTTTCAACCAGGGTTATATGATTTTCAAAGATTTATGTATAGAAATTTTACAATAGAACTATTAATAAATACCACAATAAAATTTAAATAAAAAATATGAAAGAACATTATTTTAAATTGATTCTAAAAACTAATTTTTAAATACCATACAAGAGTATTAATTGTATTGTTGTAAATTAAAATCTAACTAGTATTCATAGAAATTGGACTAAATTATTGTTTTTTTTTTTTTTTATTATTATGATAAATGCCTAAATATGGTAAAAAAAGGATTGACTAAACAATAATGATTTTTCGAAAAGATTTAGGAAAAAAATTTAAAAGTTTTTTTATTTTGTGAACATGTATAGAAATTGAGTGCTGAATATTTTTACAGTATCTAATACTTTGGAAAAAATGATATGTAATTATATAATATTTGAAAACAATAATAAATCATCTCATTTAAAAATTACTTCAAAATGAAAATTAATTAATCTATAAAGTTTAAATAATATATTTTTCTTTAATTTATTGTTCACTGAAATGACCTAAATTTTTGTAAAATGTTTATCATAAGTACATAGAAGGTAGATCGGCTGCATTATAATTTTGTTTCAAATTCTTAGAAACTTTTTAATACATACCTATTCCATCAATTCAAATAACATAATAATTTGATATAATATGAAATCTTATTTAAATTTGTTAAAATATATGAAAAAATGTAACAAATATACAAAATAAATAATATTATTTATGTCTTATCTTAGTTTCTACGATATTTTAATCTTTAATTAAATTACGTGTAGATGTATAAAATAATTAAAAATGCTTAAAATTAATACGCTGGATAGACAAAAGATTTCCTGTCATGTGGCAGTGTGCGAGTATTAGAATTAGATGATATTTAGTGAATTTGGAGAAATGCTAAATTAGTGCCAAGAGACAACATTTATTTTCGGACATATCAGAGACGTATTTAAGGGGGGAGACAAGAAGGCTATTGGCGCTGGATGCCAAACTTTGAGAGGACGTCAGATGTCAGAATCTTAAAATATTGTAAAATAGTTATTTTTTATCATTATCACGACAAATGTTACATTATATTATCAGATAACTTGCCATGTATTAAAATACATACCAAAGTAGGTAGTAATGAATTTTGGTACTAATATGCGAATGACTTACAATTATCTGTCTTTCCTATATTCCTCCAAGCCATCTCTTTCACATACAGTTAACTTTTGCCCACGACCGTCGTTTTCTTTTTTTATAAAATCTATACATACCTACACACTTTTTGTAAACGAGTACAGATTATGTCGCGAATTGTTAAGATGAATTTGTTAAGACCTTGCTAAATATATTTTTTTTAGTAGTATTGATTTGTGACTGTCATTTATTTTTCGGTATATTAAAAATAATGGCTATCTAGCGGAAATATTTTTAGGGTCTTTTTTTTTTCAATTTTTGTCATAAATCTGAAGAATTAATAGATGTTGTGTTTTTAGTTTTAGAATAGCATGGATTAAATATAAACATTTGTCATGGTCGAAATATCAACAATGCTTCTAACATTTCTGATAAATATTCAGGACTTCAAGCTCAAATTAAATAGAAGTCAATCTTTTAGCTACATTTGTACTATGCTCGGGATTCTATAAATCTTGTATTGGAGAATGATTTCGTCTTCATTTTTTAACGAGTGTATACAATTTAGAAGTTTTTAAATGAGTTCAACTGAAAACATAAGATTTAAAACTATAAAAGATATTTGTAAAATGATCAGAAATGAAAAACTACAAGAATTGTTTCCTTACGTAGATATAGCATTAAAGATATTTTTATTCTGTCCAACGTTTAAAAGTTCAGTCGAGAGATCATTTTCAGCATTAAAAAAGATTAAATTATATTTAAGATAAAAAAATGACTGATGTTCGTCTTAAAATTTACCTAGGTGATTTTCTCTATTGAACCTTTACTTACCATAGATAAGAACTTTTATGAGATTATAAATACATTGGCAAAACAAAATTATAATTTATTTTTCAAATTTAATTTGATTAATTCACTTCTATATATATATATATATATGTTTGTATTGTGAATATTTTTGTTTTTTACCAACCATGTCATATCATCCGTAATTCTTAAAAGAAAACGCTTAAGAAACACTACTTCAGGGCGAAGCTAAATACATCATACCATTCAAGGACATTTTAACAATTTGATAAGTTACAAACATAGCCGAACATTATTTCATTAATAAATTAATCATTTTTCATTCTTTTACACCGATTGAATCAATAAAACGCTTTTTAAATTGATAACAAATTTGAATTTTTGAAAGATGTTTACTTAAGATTCTATAAACAACATTTCTCGTTCTTTTATCTGAAGAAGTGCAATTTGCTATTAAATATTAACAAATATACACGACATTTTTAAAACCAAATATTGATAAGTGTGTATCTGATACAATATGAAGAAATTAATTATTAAACATTGTTTCAAAGTCCATGTTAATAAAAATAGGTATTTTTAGCAAGTTAACAGTTTATTAATTCTAATCTACTAAATATAATTTTTTTTACATAATATTTGTATTAGTCATGTACTGAACTAATTAAATATATATACATTTAAATTGATTAATTTATAATATTTTGAATTGTGTGAAAAAAAAAATGTTGATTTCAAGAAAAATAATATTATCTTTCTTAGTATTAAGTTATGAATGAATTTAATTTTTCGATAAATGGTTAATTTTTCAGAAATTTATAAACATAATTAGAGTACATACATAATTTTAAAATAATATTTAGTAGTTTATATTTGAAACAACTACTTTAATTTTTTTATTTTAGTTGTTAAGATAACATATAGTGTATCAAATATTAGGCACGAGAGGTATATAGTAGAGCCTGGTTAGTCCGGTCCTCGAACGCAGTAATCCGGACGGCATAAGTCTATTTTTTCGTAATTACATTTGTATTTTGTTCGGAATTAAAAGTATTATTCAGCACAAAATTACTGACTAGTGACTACTATACTTAAGTTCTATTATTATAAATATTTTTTTTGTAATTTAAAGTGCAATAAATATAAAGGTGGTGGAATTAAAAATAAAAATCTTAGTCGTTTGAGTAGGTAATTTTGAAAGCCTTTCAGTAATACGGACGACGCTCGGTCTAAAGTCGTCTGGACTATCAAGGTTAGAATCAATTGATTGTTTGGAAAATTAGTCATTTTTAAATTAATATGTATATTATGTAAAAATAAAAGATATATAAAAAATAATATGTGTGAGAATAATTATAAGTTATGACTAGGGCCCGGATTTCAATGCAAAATGCGCATATATTTTTGGTTGATCTTACACAATGTGTTTCAAGTATAAAACCCGTTTCATGTAACGAGGGTTTCATAGTTACAAATTTTATAATGCACTTTTTTTGCATATTTCAACGTTTTTTCATTTTTACTTTTTAGCATTATTGGATCATTTTGTTGGTTTTTAATGCATATTGCATATATTATGTTCAATATAATATACAAATTTAGCCTATTCAAAATATTATCTAAAAAATAAATTATTCAATTCAGTTTTTATCTTATTTTATTTTAATTTATTATTGATTGTGGAGTGTCACCCGTGTCCCGTATTTGGTCAAATTACAAATAATAAGTACAATAGGCTTACTTAGAATTTAATTTTTAATATATACATATTTTGGTATGTTTAGAATGAATAATATTTTTCCAGAACGGCTAAAATATATACGAATCAACATCAATCAAATTTTCAGTTTTTTTTTTTTTTTTATAAAATAATAAAATCTTATTTATAAATTACAAATTTTATTAAAAATCATGTCATTCTTAAAGTCATTATTTCATTTTTAAGGTCTTTTTTGTGGGAAAATGCATTTTTGGCTATTTTTTAGAGCATATTTGTATGGTTTAAAGTGCATTTAAACCTGGGCCCTATAGTTATGACTGTTATGAGGTATTTCTGATAATATATATTCACCAAATGTTCTTCTGTTAATTAATGTTTTACATATTGTATTTATTCTCTCGGCGATATCATAATATTTTTTCTGTTATCTAGGGGCTGTACACACAGTATATCTGTATATGATATAGAGTAAGAGGAAGCGTATATGGGATTTCAGATAAATGACATCCGATAATAGTTATGACCGTAATATAATATAATCGTATTTGTGTATTAATGCTGGTTGTACATACATTGTACATGCTATTATTCAACTTTTTATCGAAAAATGTGTACTTAGGTACACACACACACACACATATATATATATATATACATTTAATATATTATAATAATGATTATTGTTGATTTGTACCTACATAACGTTATCAAGCCAGCATTCACGTCTCAAAACGAAAATATATCACGGCCAACTGATGTAAATTCCATGTTTAATATGTTACAAATCAATTGGAAACTGGGACAAAAATCAGATATCCTTTTAAATTGATCGTGACAGAACTTCAGCCGAACAAAAAAACTTTCAGTGAACGAGTGTCCGATTTTTAGGTTTCACTGTAATGTAAATTAATCAATAAACACCTAAAATTTTTTTAGATTACGTCAAGTAAGTAATTAAACATCAATTTACCACTCTAGCCTCACTACTAAAAAAAAAATAAGATAGACAAGTAGGTATCGCTTTGTTGTACAATTAGGTGTCGAGTAGGTCACTAATCACTATTATAGGTGTGTTAAAATTTAATTTAATGACACATCATTGTATGTAAAAAACCATTTTGAGACGGAGACAATCTTTCAGCCTAGGTACATCACAAAGTTTTTCATGATATGTTTTTTGATATAGCTCATAAATTCATATTTTATTTTTATTATTATGGTAGTTTGATATAATTTTTCGAAAATATTGTAGTATTTATAATAATATTACCTATATATTTTTAATATTTATCAACTTATATAACTCAAAATTTGTTGAAATCTTTCTGTAAATATCGTAAAAGTACAGTAATAAGTCCATAGTATGAATTAATAATAGCTTAAAATAAATCAAAAATGATGTTGCGTATAGTAAAATTTAAAATAATATAATAAACGTGAAATTTTTTTTAATTACAATCTTTTAAACGTCTTTTTATATTATTTTTTTTAGATTTATTGCTTTAATATAAAATACTAATAAGAACTAAGTATGAAAAATCTTCTATTCAATTTTTTTAACTTAAATACAAATTGAATAGTTTTTAAGAACTGTTAACTAAAAAATGGTTAATAATTTTGACGAATTTCGTCAAAATTCGTATTTTAAATACATATAAAAAAAAAAATTTGGGCCTATGAAATTTTAATATTTTTAAATACATATAATTACAATTAATGTGAATATCGCATTAAATTTTCAAGAAATTTGTTCTAGAAAATAATTTTTTGTCAACAATATCAAAGACAAACGAACAACAATTTAAAATTTATCATGCCTATAAATAACTAAAAAAGAGAAACATTTTTGAAAATTTTATCATATATTAAAAATACTTTCATAACCATTTTATTAAAAAAAAAAATTATAATTTTACCGGTGAATATCGAATGTTATAAAAAATTAAACTTGAAATACTCTGAGATTTTATAAAAATTTTAACTAGTTTAAACGTTTATAAAACATAACTAATATATGTGGAGTTTTGTATGAAATTTTTAAGCATTTTTACTCAAAAAGTAATCATTATTTGCAGAAAAAAAACTAAAAAAATTAGAAATTTTTTATATCTATAAATAGTTTAAAAATATTTAAAATATATTGAAAATTTTATTGTACATTGAAAATTATAATTATACTTGGTGAATATTTCAAGTACCAGAGGTTATTCGTTTTTAAGTTACATTATTAAACAAAATAAATTTTGGGTAAAAATTACCGTTTTCCTAATTGTTTGTAAAAAGTATAAGCAATTTTTAATTTTAACTCTAATATTCATAAATTATTTATTTTGCATAAAAAACACACATTATTGTAAAATTAATTTACTCATAGCTTAGAATATTAAAAATGTTATAAAATTATGATAATTTAATTTTTTAGTTTTGTAAACAATGAGTCATTTGTAGTTTAATTACTGATTTGCAATTAAATTGTTAATTATTATACACCACTGATAAATTTTTGAGTACCTAAATGGAATATAATTTTAAATATTTCCAAAGGCATTATATACAATTTATAATAAGATAAATAATTTTTTTTACAATTAATTAATGAGAATGATGCAGTTTCGCACCCAAATGAACCTGAATTTAGAACATGCTGAACAAAATTCAACATTTAAAATTCATTTAACCCAGTCGAATTATTTTTCAAAATATTCAAGTTAAATTGAAACTCAAATTTTTTCTTAATTTTTGAATTTAATTCAATGATACTTATTCACTTATTCAGTATATTGATTTTTTTTTTTTGGTTAGTTAGACTTTTTGATTAGTTATCTAATTTTATCTATTCAGTGTATAGCTTATCAGTAATATTTTATGAAATCAAATGATATTTTAAGATTGTCTTTTAATTTAAATATGTTGCACCCTCTTAGGTACCAATTGGCAATCTATATGGTTTAGGTAAACATTTGTATACATTTTTATAACAATGTTTAAACATCCAAATAGATCCAGTATGAGAATCTTATAACCTAAATAAATATTTTGGCTAAAAAGTTTTGGAATATATACCTTTCTAATTTTACAATTATCAACTTTAAAAATGAGTGAATTCTTCCGATCACAAAATATGAGACAATGATAATGATATTTCCAGTAAGTAAAAAACAAAATGTTACCTTTTGGTGGTGGAGGAGGTAGTTCAGTTTCTTTTAATTTCCAAGGTCCTGCATTTTTTCGTTTTGGTACCATTTCTCCTGCTTCGTTTTCTTCAAATTCTATTTCATCGTCTTTATCATTGTTATCTGTACAGCTGGAAGGACATTCAGCTGTCAAATTTTGCATTTTAAGTGTTGTATAGTCTTTTATTTCTTCTTGGTATTCATTCCATTCGTCTTCTAACTGTTAGAAACATAGTTTCAATAAAAATATTCTACTGCGTTCTAATATATATTTTAATATCAATTTATTTTAAGATTAGTATTAATTAACTTAAATATTTCATGATTTAAAGTTTGTAAAATATTTTCACTACCTAATATATAACAAGTATGTTATGTAACTATTCTTAAGCTGTTCTCTAATTGTTGAGCTATAATAGTTTATTACTTGAAGTTAATAAAAAAAAAAAAAAAACAAATGAGTATGTTGGTAAGATTAAAACACTTTTTTTGAGTTTAATCTTTTATGTGTTTAAATATTTAATTAATCAGGAAAAAAAAAATGGCTCACATTTACTATTATAACATTTATTAAAAATAATAATAGAAGTAGGCACCTACCATCAAATTCAATTTAGTTTTATTGTTGTTGTTTAAATTCCCCTAAATTATTAGGTACTTTGATTATATTATGCTTATAGTACACAAGCATAATAGGAAGTACAAATGTATAATAGTTAATAACAACATAAAATATATTTAACAAACGTCAATGATAGTAGGTACCAGATTTATATATATTTATTTTAAATAAATAATAGGTATGCAATATGTAATTTATTATACATATTACATATGGTTTAAATGATAAGAGTTAATTAACAATGATATATACCATTTTAGAAGAATTTTTGTTGTCATTATCGGTCGCATAATTATTTTGAATCGTAAGCGACCTTTCAGATCTTTCTTTTTTCTGTTTGTCTTGTTTTTTTTGTAACTCTTCTTGTCCAGTAGCCATATTATCCGAGGATGTTGCAAATTTTTGACCTTTGGTTTTCTTGCGGTCTTTCTTTGCAAAAAAATTATCTAGATCGGCCATGATTGCTTCTAGAGAATCAGAAAAAAAAAGTAACATAAAATAAATTACATAGCAAATAAAAAATAAAAAATAGTCTTCACCAATCCCGACTGCACGGGGACCATTAATAATGATATAGGTAGTTGTTACTAGTCAAAAAGACTAGAATTTGCGAATGTCGTAAATAATATTTTACTGTAGATTATTAAGTGAAAGAATCAAAGAAAAAATAAAAATAAACATACCAAATCCGTCGAATACTGAGATGCGGACAACGGGCGCGGGTACACCGACGACGGGAAATTATTATAAAATATTGTTAATTAATTACGTGGTTTTGACGCGAGCGCGCGAGTGTGCGTATTAATATATTATATAATAATAAGTGTTATTATAATTAATAATTATTTAGCGAGCGGCGGGCGCGACGACGATATTCGGCAGACGATAATATTATATCTCGCCACCTCGGTTGTTAACGTGGAAACGCGACAAATCACATGTACCACCACTTGCGAACGGCGACCGAACCGCCGTGTCCGATTGGTTATCATTGGCCGATCCCGTTATCGTAACGATTCCGAAATGGATTCTCCGTATCGACGGCATGAACATAGAAACGATTCTGGGCCGCCCGTACATATTAATTCTCCAGGCGGCGGCGATTTCACGGAAACTCGATCGGTCAACACTGGTAGTGTTAGCGGCGGTAGTTGTGTTATAGTGACTGGTGACGGCGGCGGCAGTAGCAAGTGCCAAGTAGTGTCTGTAATATTATTATTATTATTATTATGTCTGGATAAACGCACTCGCACGCACACGTTCGGCGACGATATTTGATATGTTTTCATTTTACATTTTTGGACGATAAAACACGTATTTACGTAGGAAAGTAGTGTGCGTGTACTCGAAAATTATAAAGTATATCAAATATTTTAATAGATAACACTACTCGCCGAGTTAGTAGCGTTTGCACCTGTCCTGGCAGTGCGTGCATAACACCAAATCAGCCAACGACTGATTTTTTGGAAAAGAATATAATAAATTATATACATAGCATAAATTTCTATTATCACTTTTAACGTAAGTGTGTGTGTGTGCGTGTATATCTTTCTAATAACTCTAAGGGGGTCGGTCGTGGGGCGAATTGGTTGGAAAAAAAACGCGAACGAAAACATTAGCCTACTCAGCCACTTGTCACGTTGATCCGGCGACAATGATATAATCGCAGTGAGTACTCAGCTATTATACCTATTTGGAATTATAGAGGACTATGTACTGTAGCGTGACGACCAAACCTATCTATTTTTTAGTATTTTTTGTTTTTGTCGATTCCGGTTTTGTTAGAAGTATGTAGGTATTGATAATTTGGTACGAAAATTCATTTGCTGTAAATTTAACAAACCTGCTATAGTCTACTACATTCTACATGTTGATCTATTGACAATACAAAATTGATGGTTTACTTATAATTTTTATGCTGTAATTCCATCACTTAAGCCTCATAAGTTTCTATCATTCATATACCGTGTCAATGAATAGGATGTACATAATGTACTGATTTAATTATTGTTCTGGTTGGCTGAATTTTGTATTGTATTGTGTTTTTAATGTTTCAATACAGAAAGGTGCATATATTATCATTATTTTATGAATCTTAAATATATTTAATTTAAATTACTTGTGAGTTGTAGTGTATCAATTGATATTTTGTGAATCCTTCAGAATTATTTTTTAATTTTTTTTTTATGTAACTAAACTTTAAGTAGATTGATAAAGAGTATTATTTGGTATTTATTCATTTATTATCTATATTAATTTTGAAATACATTTTATAAATATTTGTTGATATATGCCCTCAAGTAGGTATGTTGAATTATTGTTACTCAGTAACCAGTATCTATGCCTATTGATATGAGAGTGTAAAATGTGTATTCAGTATAATGTTTATTGGATTATTATAAGCACAGACTATTTGATATATTATAATACTAATTCATATAATATAATGTAACATATAATTGACATACTATTATCTTATGTTTCTTATTATATTCAATTTGTTTAATATGATTGCTTATTTGAAGGGTTATGAGTTATTTTGTTTCAAGTACATATACTTTAGATTTTTCTTGTACTTATAGTAAATTATTGTGTTTTTATCTTTAATTCTGATTTTTAATTATTTAAAATTGGTAAAAATGCTCTATCAAAAAATATTACTTGTTTATAAGTCACTAATTACCAAGGCTGTGAATTTCATACACTAAAAAAGTCTTGAATACGCATGCATTTATGCACTATAAGCAAGTGAAATTTGTTTTAAAATATGCACTATAAAATTTCAAAATATATAAATTAAAAAAAAATTATACCCATATGTGCTGGGTGAAAAAATGTTTTATTTAAATAAATACTATAATTATAAAATGACTGGATGTCTTCTTTTGAAGAATTTGGAATTTTAAAATTATGCTCATTAATTAATAGAAAATTCAAACGAAAATATTATGAATTGCTACGAACAACGTATTACCACTTGTGAGATGACGACAATACTATTGTTCATTTGTCCATCATAATATAATAGATTAAGATTATAGATGTTCCATGATTGACTTTTGATCACAGATATAGACATATGATAATAACAGGAGGCTATGGTATCGCATGCCACTCTAGATCAGGTTTAACAAATGTTCCTGTTATTATTTCCACCGCGATAAAATTATAGTAGTGAAATTGTTACGTCCAAATTGAAGAAATTTTACAAATGAGAAAAACACGTTATTAAAATGTGTAAAAAGCAATAATATGAGGAACTCGCTAAATCATGCATTTATATGCCCTTACTAGTTAAATATGCAAAAATATGCAAAATAAGATTTTGTATTTAATTTATAAACAATGCAAAACAAATTTTGATCAAATCCATTTTCTTATATGATGTAACAAAAAATTATACAAATGCATGAAATTCACAGCCCTGCTAATTACTAATTTACAAGTTTATGAAGGAATATATCCAATATTTTTGATAAAATCGGAGTTATCTATAAATACGCTTATCAAATCATCAATTCCTTAAAGTTAAAAAGCTTTTGTTATTAAATTATAGGATTGAAAGAATCTAGTGTTTTCTATTAAATTTTTTCTAGTAAAAATATATGTATTCAAGTTATTAATTTACATGTATTTAAATAATGTATTATTTTGTTAAAAACTTAAAATAACTTACCATAAATACCATTGATACTTTAGAAGTACTAATTATTTTATAATTCAATATGATATTATGACTAAAAAAAAAAAAAAATTATTATTTATTAGTTTTAGTTTACTTTATTATTATATTGTTACATTTTATTTAGTTTTCGATTCATAATTGAGGACTTTTGTCATGTATATTTACATTATATTTATTTTATATGAAATTAGTACATACAATTCTAGTTCTTAGTTATTATTCATAATTTTATAAAACTACTATTTACACATTGACTATTTTTATTATTATTAGATGAATGTTTTGATGGTATGACATTACACTGCAAGTTACCATCCTGCATCCGCTATGGTTATAGTAACAAGGGTATGTTTAAATTATTTTTTTTCATTTATTTTAAATAAATTCATTATTAACGAATATTTTAGGGAGATTATATTTGGATAGAGCCAATTTCTGGAAGAGAATTTGATGTTGCAATTGGCGCTAGAGTTATTTCAGCTGAAGGAAAACGTATTCAAGTTAAAGATGACGATGGAAGGGTATTTAAAAATATTTTATATATTAAATTGTTATGAATTGATTTGCATTATTAAAAGAAATAATTATTTGCTCAGGATATAATTATAGTAATATTATATCATACTCGTATAATTCATAATTTTTTTCTCTTTATTCATTTTTTTTTAAGTTTTTATCTTTAAAATAGATAATCTTATAAATTTATAATCTAATATTTTTAAGTTAAGTCTTTTATTGCATTATATTATAATAACCCAAAGGTATTTATTGACTTTATTTAATCATATTTAGTCATTAAATACTAGGATACCTTAAGTTTGCTAAATTAAAAACTTCAGTGTTCATTCAAAAATGAATTTAAAGATTTTAGAAATGTTATTTACAAATTTTTTTGAAAAGCAGGATTTTTTAAATCAATTGTTTGTTCAATTTATCAATATTTCAAGCAAATATGCATTTTAAACTTCATTCATAAATCTTCACTGTTTCCATCTTAGATAAAATAAGAAATATTTAAAATATAGGATTTTTAATATTATTATAATAATAATATTAAATAATTGCCTTTATTAATTACAACATCAACATACAAAAATTAACAGCAAATATGCGTCCAAATTAAAAAAAAATATATAAAAATAGTTATATATAATAACTAGATAGTTAAACAAAGTAAATAATATTGACAACAACTAAAAAAATATAGTAATTTTTAGTTTCGAGAAATTTTGTAGTAAATTATAATATTATATTATTAAATAAAAATATTAAATTATGATATATATTATTTTGTATTATTATTGAGAGTGACTAATATGTTATAGAAAATACTTTGGTATTAAGTAAATTAATTATTATTAAGTGTATTGGTTAAATTACAAGAGTTTTGCAACAGAAAAGTCCACTGTACACATTTTTTTTTTTAAAGTGATTTGTTTTGAAATGTTTTTAAATAATATATTTTATAAATTTCCTAAAATAATTTTTTTTAATAAAAAAAGACGTTTAGTTTCTAAAACAGCCATTAGATTTTTAATATATTAAGACAACAAATTTTTTCTCTAAAAAGAGGGTTTTAGAAAGTAAGTAACAATATTAGTTAACTAAATATTTAACTATTTTTATCATGTATTATACATCATAATATAAAAAAACTGATATTAGTTTTTCTAAGTATAATATTGGTTATATAAATTGTTTTAAATCATGAGGCTAAACACAAATTGTTAATATTATTATAAACCTCTTTAAATTACTACATCTAATATAAAAATTAATTATAAATGAATGAGTTAATAAGATTCATATTGTATAAGAATAAGCGTTTGTATTTTTTCAAATGTTTTTATTGTGTTGTAAAGTTATTTTCTGAGTTGTCATTGATTCTTAATCTAAACTTTTAAAAAGTGCAAAATTTAAATTTATTTAAATTTTCTTTTATAACTTGTTCAATGTATAAACATTATAAAAATTAGGTTAGGTAGTAACAAAGTAATATAAGAAATACTTTAATTAATTTTGATCACAATTCAATTTTATTATTACTAAATATTACTATGATCATTGATATTAGAATTGGATATTAGTTTATTTTAATATCAATAGCATGATACTATCTAAAGGTGTATTTATTGAATTGTTTTAGTTAAGATTTAATGTTTCAACATTCTTATTCATTGAAACATTCTAATTGAATCATTCAATTTTTAAATCAAATCATCATGCACAATTTATAATTTATTTTTACAACTAGATACAATATAAAACAATA